CCGTGCCCCCTGCCGCTTCCGGGGGTCCTGGCTCGCCCTGCCTGGCCGGGCCGGGCGCAGCCGACAGGCCCGGTCGGTCTCCGCAGCAAACCAAGAGCTTCACGGTGGACATCAGGGCCAAGCCCGAGTACCACAAGTTCCTCATCGGCAAGGGGGGCGGCACCATCCGCAGGGTGCGGGACAGCACCGGGGCCCGCGTCATCTTCCCGGGCCCCGAGGACAAGGAGCAGGACCTGGTGACCATCGTGGGCAAGGAGGAGGCCGTGCGCGAGGCCCAGCGCGAGCTGGAGGCCCTGATCCAGAGCCTGGTGAGCGGCGGTGCGGCGGGCGGGACGCCCGGGCCCCCCCAGGCCGGGCTGACCGCGCCGCCCGCAGGACAACGTGGTCGAGGACTGCATGGTCGTGGACCCCAGGCACCACCGCCACTTCGTGACCCGGCGGGGCCAGGTGCTGCGGGAGATCGCGGACGAGTACGGCGGCGTGATGGTCAGCTTCCCGCGCTCCGGCTCGCAGAGCGACAGGGTCACCCTCAAGGGCGCCAAGGACTGCGTGGAGGCCGCCAAGAGGCGCATGCAGGAGATCGTCGAGGACCTGGTGGGTGCGCGCGGCCCGGGCCCTGGGGGGGCGCAGCGGCCAGACGCCTGACCGCCGCCCGCCTGCCCGCCCGCCCAGGAGGCGCAGGTGACCCTGGAGTGCGCCATCCCCCAGCGGTTCCACCGCTCGGTCATGGGCCCCAAGGGCTCCCGCATCCAGCAGATCACGCGCGACTTCAACGTGCAGATCAAGTTCCCGGACAGAGAGGAGAACCCAGGTGGGCGGCGCCGGCGCTCGGGGGCCCCTGCGAGCCGTCCGCGGGCCTCTGCTCCTGGGGCGGCCGCCCGGTCGGGCCCCTCAGCAGCGGGCACGGCCCTCCCTCCCCTCCCGTCCAGCACCCAGCACAGAGCCGGCCGTGCAGGAGAACGGGGACGATGCCGGGGAGGGGCGCGACACCCGCGAGGGGGACCCCGGCTCCCCGCGGCGGTGCGACATCGTCACCATCTCGGGCCGCAAGGAGAAGTGCGAGGCCGCCAAGGAGGCCCTCGAGGTAGGCGCCGCCCGGCCGG